CCCTGTGCGTGCTCGTGGGTAAGCAAGTGTATACACACAAGAAATAAACAAATGTAAAAAAGCATCTTAATGGAAAGTAAGGAGGACATTTGCTGAGGAACAATACCCAAGGTTGACCTCTGGCCTCCACATGCGTGTACACACGCATGCCTTTACATATAGTGTGGGCCCCTGTAAGACTGTACTGGTCACATATCTCTTAGGGTGACACTGTCCAGGACATTTCCTCTGGGATCCCCTAGGGCCAGCCTTTGTCCGATGAGGATGGAGACCTTAAATATTTATTTATGCGTGTATATCTGCAGGCCAGAAGAGGGCACCAGACCCCATTACAGATGGTTGTGAGCCACCATGTGGTTGCTGGGAATTGAACTCAGGACCTTTGGAAGAGCAGGCAATACTCTTAACCACTGAGCCATCTCTCCAGCCCGGATGGAGACCTTAAATATGAACTCTAGATAAGTAGAAAAATGATGGTCACTCTCTTCCCACTGAAAAATTGTACTAGGTTCTTCTTTACTTCATGTGTGCATGTCTATGCCACAGCCCCTGTGTGGCGGTCAGAGAACCTGTAGGAGGCAGCTTTCTCTTCCATCCTGTGGGGCTCTGGGGGCAGAGGTCAAGTCACTAAGGCTTGGCAGCAGGTATCTTGACCAGCTGGACCAACTCCTTGGCCTAGCTCTTTCTCTTTAATCACCGCTTAAGAGCTGCAGCCCGGCTTTTACTTGCTGGCAGTGGCGTAAATGACGTTGGTATCTCCTTGTTCTTTTCTTGCCCCCAGCATAGTTTGGGAGGTCTCACACAGCTCCTCGGGCACTGGGAATGGACAATCTCTTTATCTAAAGCTTTGGATGTCCCAGGTTCCGATTTTCAGGATGAAACCACCGTTTCTCTGCCTATCCCTTCTCCCACCAAGAGGTTCTCAGGACCTAGGGCATGAACTGCGGTCAGAAACCTCAACTGTTACCTTCCTGACAGCACATCTTCCAGTGGGTGTCAGCCCTTCTCCCCTTGCCCAGTTGCTTGTGTTGACGAAAGAATAGTACTCACAAAGATGTCCGCATTGGAATCCCCCAAACATGTCAATACAGGTCATCAAATTGGCAGAATGGACTTTGTAGTAGCAGTTCAAGGCCTCTTCCCTCTCCTCCTCTTCCCCCTTCTCCCCCCTCCTCCTCTTCCACCTCCTCTCCTTCATCCTCTTTCCCCTCCTTCTCCTACATCCTCCTCCCCCTCCTTTTTGTTTTGCAGGCAGTTTCCTGTAGTTCAGACTGCATGGAATTCTCCATGAACTTTCGAGTCTCCTGCCTCTTACTTCTCAAATACTGGGATTAAAAGCATGTACAGCCATGCCTGGCTGAGATTAAAGATCTGAACTGTGTCCTCCCCTTCCCAAAGCCATATACTGAAGCTTTGCCTCTTGGCACTTCAGAATGTGATGATGTAGATACAGGGTTTTGTTTTGTTCTGGGACAGGGTCCTGGCTCTACATAGCCCTGGCTGTCCTAAAACTCACCCTGTAGACCAGGCTGGTGTCAAACTCAAGGATCCACCTATCTCTTATCTCCCAACTGTGGGGACTAAATAAAGATTTGCACCACCATCACCGGACTTCTTTTGAAGACCAGGGCTCACTGTGTAGCCCAAGCTGGCCTTGAACTCCAGATCCTGCTGGATCAGCCTCCTGAGTGCTAGGGTCACAGAGTATATTATATAGGTCTAGGGCCTTTAAAGTTAAAATGAAGAACTAACCAACTGTGGTAGCATCTGCCAGGCAGAATGAACTTTTTATGCTATTTATACATTTTAATAAGATTTATTTATTTATTTATGGCTTTTTAAATATTTATTTATTATGTATACAATATTCTGTCTGTGTGTGCAGGCCAGAAGAGGGCACCAGATCTCATTATAGGTGGTTGTGAGCCACCATGTGGTTGCTGGGAATTGAACTCAGGACCTTTGGAAGAACAGGCAGTGCTCTTAACCTCTGAGCCATCTCTCCAGCCCTTATTTATGGTTTTTTGAGACACATTTCTCTGTAACTTTAGAGCCTGTCCTGGAACTAGCTTGTAGAACAGGCTGGCCTCAAACTCACAGAGATCTGCCTCCCAAGTGCTGGGATTAAAGGAGTGCACCACCACCACCCTGCTTGATTTGATTTATATGAATGCACATATGGTCATCCAGTACATGCCTGGTGCCCAGGGATGCCAGGAGAAGATGACAGATCCCTGGAACTAGAGTTAAGAATGGTTGTGAGCCACCGTGTGGTTTCTGGGAACCAGACCTTGGTCTTCTGCAAGAGCACCAAGAGCTCTTAACCACTAAGCCATCTCTCTGGCCCCAAAAGGAAAAAAAAAAAAGAAAGAAAAAAAAGAAAACAAAGCTCCATTTCCAGGTGTGGTGGTGGTGCACACCTCTAACTCCAGTACTTGAGAGGCAGAGGCAGACGGATCTTTGTGTTGGAGGTATACAGAGCGAGTTCCAGGACAGCTGGAGCTGCAGAGACCCAGTCTCAGGAAAAGGATGAGGAGGAGGAGGAGAAGGAAGAAGAAAAAGGAGGAAAAAGTTCCAGACCAGCCAGGACTACTACATTAGCAATACCCTACTTTCAGATATCTCAGTGTTTAAGGGCACCTGTTCTTCCGCCACCCACATCAGGGGGTTTTCAACCGCCTGTAACTCCATCTGGTGGAGTGTGATGGTTTGAATGAGCCGTCTCCCATCAGTCTCAGGTGTTTGAATACTTGCTCCCTAGTTGGCAGGTGCCTCACTGGAAGAGGTGGGCTGGGCTTCGTGCTTGTGGTTCAAGATGTGAGCTCTCAGCTGCTGCCCCAGCCGCCTTCTGCCTGCCATCGCCGTCCTGCCAGTGAACTTTAACCCTCTGAAGGCGCTGCGGCAAGAGAAAAGACGGGAGGGGGGGGATCTGAGGCCTTCTGACCTCCACCGTCACCACCCCCAAAGCACGTACAAACAAATAATAAAATAAATATAAATATTAAAAATTAGTTATAAATAGCCAGGTGTGGTGGTGCACACCTTCAACCCCAGCACTCGGGAGGCAGAGACAGGTGGATCTCTGGCTCGAGGCCAACCTGGTCTACAGAGTGGGTTCCAGGGCAGCCAGAGCTACACAGAAAAACCCTGTCTTGGAAAACAAAACAAAACAATAACAAAACCAACAATAGAATAGAACAGCAAACAGAAGGCTTCCTGGACTCATTGTTAACAGGGCCTTCCCCTGGCAGACATGGCAAGCATCATCAATGTGCGGAGACCCTTGCCTACTTCTTGGGGGAATCTCTCAAACTGGCACAGTGTACCTGGTGAGCAACCCCACTATGTGGTTGCTGGGACTTGAACTCAGGACCTCTGGAAAAACAGTCAGTGCTCTTAACCTCTGAGCCATCTCTCCGGTCCGCTTGGTAACTTTTATAGTGGATTTTTGAAGCCTATGTTGTTGTCATTGTTTTTAAACATTTATTTATTTTGCGGAGGAGGAATTGGCATAAGCATGCTATGGCCTTCAAGTGAAGGTCCGAGGACATTTTGGGGGACTCCAACCTCTACTTCTACCAGGTGAGTTCCAGAAGTTAAACTCAGGTCATCAGGCTTATCAGCACCTTGCTCACTGAGCCAGCACTGACAGCCCCAGACCATATTTTGCTTATTATGTTTTTTTAATATTTATTTATTACGTGTACAATATTCTGTCTGTGTATATGCCTGCAGGCCAGAAGAGGGCACCAGACTTCATTACAGATGGTTGTGAGCCACTATGTGGTTGCTGGGAATTGAACTCAGGACCTTTGGAAGAGCAGACAATGCTCTTAACCACTGAGCCATCTCTCCAGCCCATGCTTATTATGTTTTGTTTTGTGAAAGAATCTCATGTGGCCCAGGCTAGCCGCTATTTGTTCCGTCTCTGAGGGCAACCTTGAATCCTTAATCCTGCTTCTGCCTCTTGAGTGTTGGGGTTAGAAGCAAGCAATACCACACACCCCATTTATACGGCGCTAGGGATGAAACACAAATTCTGATTCAAGTCCCAGCAACCACATGGTGGCTCGCATCTATGAGATCTGGTGTCCTCTTCTGGCCTGCAGGTGTACATGAAGGCAGAACACTGTATACGTAATAAAATTTTTTTTGTGGTTTATTTAACTTTATTCTATGTGCATTGGTGTAAAGGTGTCAGATCCCCTGGAACTGGATCTTCAGACAGTTGTGAGCTGCCATGTGGGTGCTGGGAATTGAACCCGGGTCCTCTGGAAGAGCAGTCAGTGCTCTCAACCACTGAGCCATCACTCCAGCCCCACGTAATAAAATTTTTTAAAAAATTACCAAGCAGATTCCCACCAAAGAACTGAGGACTGAGCATTCAGATTTACAACTCTGTGAGGGCCATTCTCATTCAAGCTATTCCAAGGCCAGAAGACTCCCTCTGCTTGCTTTAGAATCCCCAGTGACCTGCAGTCCCAGCATAGTGTTTGATTCTCTGCTGCCAAGTTGTTCCTTAGAGTCTTTTTGGACACAGCAAATTGTATTAACATGTCACCTGCTTTTCTGGAAACACTTTTGTAATGTTCTGTATCTTCTATATGTTAAGATTCCAGAAGTGTTTTTAGCTCTTTGACTTGAGTGTTCTGATTTTTAAACAGTATCGCCAGGCATATACAGCAAACAATTCTTCACAAGTCCAAGCAGCTATGAAAGGTTTTGAAGAGGTCATAAAGAAGTTTCCAAGGTGTGCTGAAGGCTATGCACTTTATGCCCAGGCATTAACAGATCAACAACAGTTTGATAAAGCTGATGAAATGTATGATAAATGTATTGATTTGGAACCAGATAATGCCACAACTTATGTTCATAAAGGTTTACTTCAACTTCAGTGGAAGCAAGATTTGGATAAAGGCTTGGAGCTTATCAGCAAAGCTATTGAGATTGACAACAAATGTGATTTTGCATATGAAACCATGGGAACCATTGAAGTGCAGAGAGGAAACATGGAGAAAGCCATTGACATGTTCAACAAAGCTATCAACCTGGCCAAATCGGAAATGGAGATGGCTCATCTGTATTCACTTTGTGATGCTGCCCATGCCCAGACAGAAGTAGCAAAGAAGTACGGATTAAAACCGCCGACCTTATAAAACCAAGGGGAAAGCAGACGGACTCTTTTTAAAAAAGAAGTTTACCCCTCTTCAACTGAACCCTGAAGACACTGTCATGACACTGTTGAATGGTGGAACCTAGTATTCCCTTTGTGATGTTGTCATTCATTACATCTGTTTCACGGTTAGGTGTTGTGGGCGTGGCTGTTGAAGGAAGTTTGCAGTCTTGCAGCTTTTATTCCCTGTGCTACAGAAGCTTAGAACATGTTAAAGGGATATTAAAACAAACTTGTAGAATACAAACAGTAATTGGCCATGCAAATAAAAAAAAAAAATTACCAAGCACAGAAAAATCTAATTTATGGTACCAAGCTTGCTTCTACTCCGACCTCCCAAAAGAGTGAGAGAGGCCCCACTTCTCCCTTTTAGGAGATCATGTCCGCACATAGAAACCATGTCCTAAGGCCAGTACCCCAAAAGCTATTGGTGAAATGAATTGCCACAACAGGGGTAGGACATGAGAGTTCAAGTGGAAAGTTCAAGACCAGCCTGGTCAAAAAACCAAAGTTTAAAAAAAAATATTAAAAACAATCTTAAGGGCTGGAGAGATGGCTCAGAGGTTAAGAGCACTGACTGCTCTTCCAAAGGTCCTGAGTTCAATTCCCAGCAACCACATGGTGGCTCACAACCATCTGTAATGAGGTCTGGTGCCCTCTTCTGGCCTGCAGGCACGGAGGCTGAACACTGTGTACATAATAAAATCTTTAAAAAAAAATCTTAAAAAGAAAAAGTGGGGAGGGCTAGGGAAACGGTCAGCCCCTGCTGTGCCTGTCATGCAAGCCTGAGGACCTGAGCTGAGCCCCAGCACCCACGCTGTCTCAGCTTCTCCCCTGCTCCTGGGATGACATACGCCAGCACAAGCGTAAGGAAGAGTGGGTCTGTTTTAGCTCACAGTTCCTGAAGTCAAAGCAGCTTGAGGTCAACTGGTCACACTACATCTGTTGTCAAAGTAATGAACACGTTGCTCAGTTTCCTCTCCTCCTGTTCATTCCCCAGAGCCAAACCCACAAAATGGTGCAGCCCACATATGGGACTTGGAGGGGGGGGGCTCATCCCTCCCCAGGGAACCGAATCAGGACCACCCTCTTGATGCCCAGCTCCCCTCTTGATGCCCAGCTCCTCTCTCCCAGGTGATTCTAGGAGCTGTCAAGTTGATGATTAACAGTGCAGTTCTGTGAATGTGTGACCTCGGGGCTGGGGAGGCGGGGCTTACTGCTAAGGGAACCCAGCCAATCGATGAGCTCCAGGTTCAGTGAGAGTCCTTACCTCCAAAAGTGAGATGCAGGAGACCGGATAATGGCTCAGTGCGTAAAGACACTTGCCACCAAGTCTGAGGACCCGAGACCAACGCCTGGAATGCCCATGGTGGAAGGAGAAAATCAGCTCTGAAGGCTGTCTTTCCATCTCTGTGCTTGCATGTACGTGCGCTTGGAAGACATCTGACATAGAGATCTCGGGCCTCATGCATAAGCACACACACACACACACACACACACACACACACACACACACGCACATACACACACACACACAAGCCCAGGACAAGCATCCTACATTTCCCATTTTGATTTTTAAAACTTATTTTATTCAACTTGGAAAATGAGTATAAATCCCTGGGTGTCTGGTGCCGGGCAGGATGAAAACTGACGGATGGGCAGAAAAAAGGGAGAAGGGGCAAGGTGCAAACATCACAGTGGCTGCCTCAGGTCCCTGCCTGCGAAGGAGAGGGTGGGTCCAGCTGGGGAGCTCAGGTCCGGAGGAACACCATGGTGAGGAGGCCTGAGGGTAGGAAAAGGAAGAGAGTCCGTGCAGGAGCCTTCCTCCCGTCCTTTCTTTGGAGGTGGGCCCAGGTGCTCCTCTACCATGCTCACCTAAGATGTACGCTGCCACCAGCTTCTGTCCCAGGGACACATGCAGAACCTGAGGCAGCTGGCTGCCAAGCTCGTCCTGCAGGGGCAGCAGCAGGAAGGCCACGGAGATGATGCCTGTCAGCAAGAAGAGCAGGAAGGAGCTGGTGGCCAGCTGCTGGGGAGGACCTGCGAAAGGAGGGGACATGAGTACCGGTGGCCCAAGGTCTGCCAGGGACCAGGATGAAAAACGGAGAGGCAGCAACTCTGACTGGAGTTCACTGACATGTCATTTACTTATTCTGAGACAGGGACTCACACGTATGTGGTCTAGGATGGCCTCAGACTCATTAGGTAGTCAAGGGCAGTCTTGAACTTCTGATCCTCCGGCCTCTAGCTCTCAAGTTCTGGGATTAGGTGTGCAATGCCATATCCGGCTTTGGTTATCTCTCTTAAGTGTGTGATAGATGCGAGTGGGTGGGTACACGCACACGTGTGCATGTGTACAGAGGCCAGAAATCAACCTCAAGCGCGGTTCCTCAGGAACCATCCGACTTGTTTTGGGAGAATGGGGTCTCTCAATGGGACCTGGCCTTGTCTGTCAGAATGGCCAACTGCTTAGCCAGCCCCAGGATCTGCCTGTCTCTGCCTCCTCAGAACTGGAAGTCCAAACATAATGCAACCATGTCATGGGTGCTGGGGTCTGAACTCGGGTCCTCGCTCTTATGTAGCAAACACTATACCAACTGATCTGTCTCCACAACACTCCTCCCCACCCCTGTCTGTCAAAGCCTCGTAGCTCAGGCTGGCTTGGAACCTGCAATCCTCCTTCCTTCTTTGTAGTCCCCCAAGGGGTGGTATCCCAGGCTTGTGCCATCACGCTGGCCTTTGGGTTTACATTTTATTGCCCTCCAAGGGTGCCCTGCCTTCAGTACTGTGTTCAGTGTCCTGGGCTGACAGGCAGGGACCTCTGTATCTCCCATGCCCAGCACACAGCAGTGACTGCTCAGTGCAGGCTTCTTATTGAGCTGAAGGTAGCTGGCGCCTGATAACAGCCGCTGCAGTTGGAGCTAGGGAAGAACTTGTCCCCTGATTAGAAATTAGAAACAGGACAAGTGCAAAGTCGTCTTCCTCTCTCACCCAACAGAAAACCTCAGCCAGGAACAACTGTGCACAGGGACTTCTTCAAACCCCATTTAGTTCATTTCTAGAGTAATGCTACTTCTTCTCACCCTACAGAATTCAGGAGTCCCCGCTGCAGGGCTGGGAATATTGCTCAGCAGTAGAGGGCTTGTTTGGTATGCCTTAGGTACAAGGCGAATCCCCAGTACTACAGAAAAACAGTCTGTGGAGAGACAACCCAGACAGTGCAAACATGAGGACCCAAATTCAGATCTCCAAAACCCACTGAAGAACCTAGTCTTTGGGTGGTGGAGACAGGTAGATACTGGATTCTTCTTTTCTTTTTTTTTTTAGAGAAGGGATTTTGCTGTAGCTTTGGAGCCTGTCCTGGAACTAGCTCTTGTAGACCAGGCTGGCCTTGAACTCACAGAGATCTGCCTGCCTCGGCCCCCAGTGCTGGGATTAAAGGCATGCACCACTGCCCAGTTGAGATACTGGATTCTAAAGTTAACTGGGAATCCAGCCTAGCAAAACAAATGTGCTTGAGACCCTGTCTCAAAAAATAAACATGGACAGCGCATGAGGAAAATCAACCTTTGGCCTCCACAAACACACACATGTGCACAAGCACCCACACACATAGTCACATAATACACACAACACCACAAACACGATGTATCCCTTCAACTCACTCTCCTGAAGGTGTCTGGCTGGGGTTGGTCCTGTCCACACAGGAGGCCCTGGATTGGGCGTTGGCTCAGAATGTCCCTGAAGCTCCAGGGGGTACGCTGGCGCCCGAAGAACAGAGGTGATGTCTTTTCGGCCAACCACTCGTCCCTCAGCCCCCTCCTCAGACAGCTCAATTCGGAACCGGTCCTGGACATCATAGTGGCTGGGGATGGGGGCCACATGCCGGATCACACTGACTCATTGGGAGGAAGTTAAGTGAGAAGCAACGAACCAAGCGAATCCAGTTCTCCTCCCCAGAAACTTCCCAGAGTGACTGCAGCCAGAGGGTGAAAAGGTCTCAGACCATAGGCAACAGATGGCAGAAACGCCGGGCTGCTTCCCCACCCTCCCCCACTCACATGTCAATGCAAGACTGCGGCTTCACATATCCTTCTGCATCGAATACCGTATACTTGGCAGGTGCTGTACACAGAACTGCGGGATAGACACACGAAGAGACCTGAAGAAAGTTTCGCTTATGGTGGGTTATCAGAGCCCCCTTCTGTCAGCCACCCCAGAGACGGACATTACCTAACTAACTCCTCCAGCCCACAACATCCTGCCATATCTTCCTATCAATCCCCAGAGCCCTAGCTCCAGGGGCCCATCTCTTCACCTCGGAAGCGAAGCGCAGTTCCCGTGGGGTTGTAGAGGGTCAGCAGCTGCCGGGGTCCACTCCTTTGGTCCGCTCTGAATACTAGATCCGGGGGAAAGACGAGCACCGGGACAACGGGTCCTGAGGAAGGAGAGGAGCCCCGGGGCCCCCGCCCAGGGGCCCCCGGACCCACCAGCTCCTGGTCCTGGGGCGCCCCACGGCGCATGCAGGCTCTAGGCGGTCGGACATCCGAGGGCAGAGCTCACAAGGATAAGAGGGCCTTGGAGTCTGGGGCTAGCGGCGCGAGGAATGGAAAGAGGACGGGGCGAGATGGTAGCAGAGCTCGGCCAGGTGTCCCCGCTGCCTCGGCACCCCACTAGACGTGGATCCTCCAGTCCCAGGCCCGGCTCCTCAACCCTTTCCCCTTCCAGCTGGGCCCCAGGTTCCTACAGGTCCCGCCTCCAAACCGCACCGCAGTGGCCACGCCCACTCGGCTCAAATCTGGCCCGCCTCGTCGCTTCCCGATCCGGGTCTTCCGGTACAGGCAGTAAGCCACGCCCCTTCCGGGCCTTCCGGGCCGGTCTCCCCCGACGGACTCGGTCCCCCTGAGCCCTCCTGATAGCCAGGTTATCGGGCTGTGTCTCCGACCCCTTTCCTTAGGCTTGGCCTGTGCTCTCTCCGGCATTCCGCCTCTGGATGGCCGCTCGTACCACGATAATCACCTGGTAGTCAACGTTTCCTCCAGTCAATCGTATGCAGGCTGAGGGCGCCATCTTCCCGAAAGCTCCTTGGTGTACTTCCGCCGTACGGCCTCTCTCATTGGTCAGTGCTGCCTCGCTTCCGCCTAATTGTACGCTGATTGGTGTTCGTCAGCGACCAAACCCGCCTCCCTCGGCGCTAATGATTGGCTGCATCTTGGGTAAGTAATTTAAGGGTCCCCAGCGCCAACTCTAGTCTGTTAGTAACTCGGGGAGGCGGGTGTCGGCTCCGGTCTAGTGTATCCTTTTCTTTCTTTCTTCTTCTTTTTTTCATTTTGCTTTTCTCTCCTTCCTGCTCGGGCCTGAGAAAACATGTGTGCACAGTGACGTAAGGTTAATGGTCAGTAATCAATAAGTAGAACTAGATGAAGCAAGAATCTCAACCAGCCCTGGTTACACTTTAAAAAGGGGGGGGGGGGAGGTGCCGAAGGGTTAGCTCAGCGGCTAAAAGGACCCAGGTTCGGTTCCAGCACTCACATAGTGGTTCATAACCAATTGTAACTCCAGTTTCATGGGATCGGACGGCCTCATTTGAGCTCTACCTGTATGTGATTCATACACGTGCAGACAAGACACTCGACGTACGTGAATAAATCTAAAGAGTTTTTTTGTTGGTTTGGTTTGGTTTTTTCGAGACAGGGTTTCTCTGTAGTTTTGGAGCCTGTCCTGGAACTAGCTCTTGTAGACCAAGCTGTTCTTGAACTCACAGAGATCCGCCTGCCTCTGCCTCCTGAGTCCTGGGATTAAAGGCATGTGCCACCACCGCCCTGCCTAAAGAGATTTTTAAAAAAGATTTGTTATGTATACAGAGTTCTGTCTGCACGTGTGCCTGCACACCAGAAGAGGGCATCAGATCTCATTGTTGATGGTTGTGAGCCGCCATATGGTTGCTGGAGATTGAAAACAGGACCTCTGAAAGAGCAGTTAATGCTCTTGACCTCTGAGCCATCTCTCAAGACTTAAAAGAGACTTTCTTTTTTTTTCTTCTTTTTTTTTTCTTTTTGGAATTGTGAAACAGTTCAGGCTATCCTTGAACTAACTGTAGATCAGGCTGGCCTTGAACTCACCGAGATCCACCTGCCTTTGCCTCCCAAGTCTTGTGCCCACAAGGCCCATTAGTTAATGATTGCTAGGGAGAGATATTTTCTTCATTGGAATAACCACTATTAAGTGGCCTGCGCTCCTGGAAGCAGCAGTAATAAAACTTACTGATTCACCAAAAAACAAAACACAACAACAACAAAGAACCACCAAGAAATCAGGAGAACTACCTGGGAAGGGGAAAGGACCCACAGGAGTGGGGGACAAGAGACATAGTGGTGGTGAATGTGTCAAACATATGAAAATGCCATGATGAGATCATTTTATTTATATAAAATTATCAATAATTAGTATGATGATTAGGGAAAAATGAAATAACAAAGATAAAAACATGAGAGAATAACAAGTAGAAGTCAGGCACATTCGTGTAAGCCCCAGGTACTAAAGGCAGGCGAGGTGGATTGCCACAAGTTTGAAACTAACTTGATCTGTTACACATAGGGAGTTTTCTGCCAGCCAAGGCTACAGAGTGAAACCTTGTCTTAAAAACACACACACATCAGGCTGGGCGGTGGGGGCACACGCCTTTAATCCCTGCACTCCGGAGGCAGAGACAGGTGAATCCCTGTGAGTTCGAGGCCAGCCTGGACCACAAGAGCTAGTTCCAGGACAGCTAGGACTGTTACACAGGGAAACCCTGGCTCGAAAAACAACAACAACAAAAAACAAACAAAAAACCCCACAAACGGGGGCTGGAGAGATGGCTCAGTGGTTAAGAGCACTGGCTGCTCTTCCAAAGGTCCTGAGTTCAATTCCCAGCAACCACATGGTGGCTCACAACCATCTGTAATGAGGTCTGGTGCCCTCTTCTGGCCTGCAGACATACACACAGACAGAATATTGTATACATAATAAATAAATAAATAAATAAATAAATTAAAAAAAACCCCACAAACATTGGAGGGGAGGGGGGTTGACATGATGGCAGGCACCTCAGATCCAAGCACTCTAAGATCCAGGTAGAGGCAGGTGGATGTCTGAGTTTGAGGGAGCCAGGGCTACATAGTGAGACCCTATCGAAACAAAATAAAAACAAAACCAACGACAGTGGACTGGCCAGTACAGAAGTTTGTGTGGAGCCCAAAGACGTGAATTGGATTCCTAGGACTCACATGGTAGGAGGAGAGAAGCACCCTCTACATGAGCTGAGCTAAATGCATATATGCACATGTACAATGTACATGTGTGTACATGTGCGTGTGTGTAATACGTGCAAAAAATTAAAATCTGAGTGTTTTATGGAAAGCCTTTCCTGAAAACTGTATTTTCCTTTTATCATGCTTTTGCTTTGTTTTATTTCTTTTTTGTGTTACTGAGGATTGAACCCAGGGTCTTACTCTTGATAGACAAGTACTCAACCACTGAGCTACATTCCTAGTCTGTAGACAGAAGTTTCTGTCCCTCCCAGTCCTTCTGTCCTTCCCAAATAAACACACAGAGGCTTCTATTAATTATAAACTGTTTGGCCTATTGCTCGGGCTTATAACTACCTCTTCCAACTTAAATTAGCCCATATTCTTATCTATGTTTAGCCATGTGGCTTGGTACCTTTTCTCAGTAAGGCATTCTCATCTTGCTTCCTCTGCATCTGGCTGGTGACTGCCTCTCTGCCTTTCCAGAATTCTCCTCTTCCCAGAATTCTCCTAGTCTGGTTGTCCCACCTATACTTCCTGCCTGGCTATTGGCCAATCAGTGTTTTATTAAACCAGTACAAGTGGCAAATCTTTACAATGTACAAGAGCATTGTCCCCCAGTGTCCTTTTAAAATTTTTATTGTGAGACTAGGGCTAAGTTGCCTAGACTGACCTTGAACTTGCAGATCTGTTTCTGTCCTTGAGGTAGCTGGGATAACCACCACACCTGGCTATTGTCTTGCTTTTGTTGTTGTTGTTTTTGTTTTTCTGAGACAGTTTCTCTGTTAGCCCTGGCTGTCCTGCAACCTGTTAGACCAGGCTGGCCTTGAACTCACAGAGATCCTCCTGTCTCTGCCTCCTGAGTGCTGAGACCAGAGGTGTGCACCACCACCACCACCGTCTGACTTCGTCTTGCTTTTTTCATAGCACATTTCTTCATACTTTAATAATTTGTTGACTCTTTCCTCCAGAGAATTTCCTCTCAAAAACAGGGGCATTTATTTTCTGATGTGTTTTCAGTACTTAAAACATAATCTGCCGTTTGGCAAGGACAAAGGAATGAATTAGATGACCTTTGAGCAGAGGTCTGACTAGACTTAGGAAGGAATCAAATGTATTTATGGGAAAGAATTCCAGAAGGAGGGATAGCAAAATCCTAAGCCCAACTGTCCTGGAGGTGGGGATAGCTGACAAGCACCGGCCTGCGTTGTCATCCTTAAGCAAAAATGCTGAGCACAGCAGTGCATTCTTAGAATCCCACAGGAGGCACTCTGTTCAAAACAGGGGCAGGGGAGGGAGGGTGGAGCTGGAGGGATGACTCAGGGGTTGCTCTTCTAGAGGACACAAGTTTGGTTCCCAGCATCCATGTTAGGCAGCTCTCAGCCATCTGTAACTCCAGCTGCAGGGGACCCAACACCCTCTTCTGGCCTCTTTGGGCACACACACACCCTTTTTCTTTTTTAATTATAATATCAAAAGAAACAAGAGGTGGATGGTGATCTTGAAGATGACTCCTTTGGCTTTCTTTTTTTAAAAAAAAATATTTATTTATTTATTTATTATGTATACAATATTCTGTCTGTGTATATGCCTGCGGGCCAGAAGAGGGCACCAGACCCCCATTACAGATGGTTGTGAGCCACCATGTGGTTGCTGGGAATTGAACTCAGGACCTTTGGAAGATCAGGCAACGCTCTTAACCTCTAAGCCATCTCTCCAGCCCTCCCTTGGCTTTCTAAACACGTGTGCATACATATACAAATGGATATGAGAGAGAGAGAGAGAGAGAGAGAGAGAGAGAGAGAGAGAGAGAGAGAGAGAGAGAAAGCTGAGCTGAATGGGAAACAATGAGTCACCAGAAATAACAGTAAGTGAGGAGGAAGGAGGGAGGCTGGAAAGGTAAAACTGAGATCTATTTGGAGAACTATCCTCAGAATGCTACAAATTAATTCATTTATTTATTAATACTTTATTTTATGTGCATTGGTGTTTTGCCTGCATGTATATTGGTATGAGGGTGTCAGAAGCCCAGGAATTGGCGTCACAGACAGTTGTGAGCTGCCATGTGGGTCCTGGGAATTGAACCCGGGTCCTCTGGAAGAACAGTCAGTGCTCTTTGCCACTGAGCCATCTTTCCAGCCCTGTTTATTTTATATGTGTGTGTTTGTGCATTTGTACAAATAGAGGACGGACGACTTGCAGGTGGGTTCTCTCCTGAAGACAGAGCTCAGGTCGTCAGGCTTGGCAGCATGCCATCTCCATGGCCCAGTTCTCAATATTTGGATCAGTGGAGTGTTAGTACCTAGCTGACATTCCTCTAACTTCTCTTTGCTTTTCCCAGACAGGGTTTTTATGTGTTGCCTGGCTGTTTTGGAACCCATGTAGACCAGGCTGGCCTCAAACTCAGAGTCTGCTTGCTTCTGCCCTGAGTGCTGGGATTAAAGGCATGAGCGAACATAGCCCAGCTCTTCTAACTTAAATCATGATACTCAGTCTTATATAACTCAGATTTGGCCTCCAATTACTATATAGCCCAGGCTGGCTTTGAACTCCCGATCACCTTACCTCCACCTCCCAAGTACTTTGATTACAGGTGGCACACACTCAGCTTCTAGTTAGGATTTGGGGCCAGGGTGGGGGGACGGCTGGTGTTTAAGATTTTTTTTTAATGCATTTGGATGATTTGCCTGCATATACACTGCTGCCTGCAGAGGCCAAAAGAGGCCATTGGATCTCCTGGAACTGGTTACAAAATATTGTGAGCATGTGGGTGCCGGGATTTTGAGACAGGGTTTCCTAGTAGCTATGAAGCTAGTCCTGGAACTTGCTCTGTAGAGCAGGCTGGCCTCAAACTCAGAGATCCACCTACCTCTACCTCCTGAGTGCTGTGATCAAAGGCGTGTGCCACCACTCCCTGGCCCCTACCCTGAGTTCCTAAAGCAGGCTGAAGATGTCGCTCAGTGGTAGAGTACTTGCCTAGCATGTGGAAGTCCGAGTTCATCTTCTAGTACTTTTTCCTTCTACCCCAAGGAAAAAATATTCTGAAACCCAAGATGCACGCCCCCACGCAACCATAGAACTGATATACGATCCCTTCCTGAGTTACGAAACATTTATTGGGTTGAGAGCACCACACTCAGGCTGCATCTGGCTGGGACCTCAGGCAGCTGGCCTAGGGAAGGAGGGACACTTCCTCTTGCTCAGGTTATTGAGGATCTGGTCCTGGTTGGGCTTGTAGGGAACCACAAAGCTGTCTGGAGGGAGGACGGGGCCTCTGCTTTCTTCCAGCTGGCCCATCAGCAGGTAACTGGCTCCTGGACGGGAGAGAGGAGATTGAGAGCTCGGAGTTACTAAGAGCTGGTGACACCTTCTTGACCAGGTCTGGCACCTTCATGACTCCAGGGCATTCGCTCGGTATACATCCTCATTTCCCATGCCCCTTACCTTTCTTCATGGGGGGCATCTGCCTGCAGGGCACATAGAACTTCAGAGGGGTGTCCCTGGGCGGAGAGGGCAGATCTAGGCCTCCGCTTTTGTAGACACCGAGGAGATTGATGGTGACGGTGAGGCCCTCACCTGGGCCACGGACCATGGTCTTCACCGTTCCGGTCACCACTGTGGAAGGGTGGGGGTGAGAGACAAGAGTCAGGTGGCTGGAGCTGGGCTTGGATGAGGGCCTAGAGAGTCGGGAGGGCAGGATGGAGGGTCTTACCCAGACTACTGGCACAGAAGTTGCTCTGCAAGGTGCCCACCCGCTTGTACTGCTTTGGACAGGTGACACTGGATGCATCTAGGAGAGACGGGGTTGCTTGTGGAGGGCAGGAGGACCATCTGCCTCACATCGGCCTATTTGCTCCTTTATTTGTAGCGCTAGGAATGGAGCCAGAGTCTGGTGCATGCTAGGCAGGAACTCTAGAGCTGAGCCACACCCTTCGGCCCTCCCCGGAGGGTTCTAGGCAACCACCTTGCCGCTGAATCACACCTGAGATCCTCACTAGAGGATTCTGGGACAGACATTCTACAGCCAAGACAAGCTTCCAGCCCCTCATTGTGAGGCTCTTAGGAAAGAGCTACCTCTGAGCCGTGCCTTCAGCCTTGCCTGGGAGATTCTAGCAAACCCTGCCCTAGCTGTCACATGTGAAATTACAGCAGCCTTATGGATGGAAACTCAGAGCTCCACAGAGAGTGGCTTCCCAGCACCAGTTCCAGACACTGACGGGAGACCAGCATCATGGGTGTTGAATGAATGAATGAATGAATGAATGAATGCTGACCCAAGGAGGAGCTTAGTGCTTTAGTTCATGCCCTTTCTTCCACTTTTTATTTTTTTAAAAATATTTATTTATTTATTATATATAGAATATTCTGTCTGCTTGTATGCCTGAAGGCCAGAAGAGGGCACCAGACCTCATTACAGGTTGTAAGCCACCCTGTGGTTGCTGGGAATTGAACTCAGGACCTTTGGAAGAGCAGGCAATGCTCTTAACCACTGAGCCACCTCTCTAGTACCTTCTGCCACCTTTTCACACTCACCCAGGACCGCTGGAGTTTCCTGTGTATTTGGGGAGCTCTCTGGTTTCTCTGCAGGTTGGGATTTAGGTTTGGCGGGTGGTTTGACTTTGGGCCCAGTTCCTGTCTTTGGGTCAGAGCGGGATGGGGGACCAGACTGGACATCTTCCCCTGGGCTTGAGGCTGGCCCCTTTTCCACGGCATCCCGTGGCAGGGTCTTGTAGGAAGCCGAGAAGCCATCTGCGGTGACACTGAGATCTGATACAAACTGGACCAAGAGCTCATTCCCTTCAGAGGAGATGGGACTGCAGTGGGCAGACGAGAATTGGTTGAGGCATCAAGGCAGACTGTGTACCCTATTCTGTCCCCCAGTGGTCAACCTGAAGCTCGTCCTCTGACGCCAGAGTCCCCTGAGGCTCTGTGGACTTCAGAAGACACGCTAAACTTTTGCCAGCTCCTATACTTGCTCAGACTAATGGTTTGGAATCCTAGAGCTCAGATCTTGCCTGGTCAGCCGAGCCTCCCTCTAACCCTGCATGGCCTTTGACAACTGCTCACAGGGATGAGGAGTTAGCCCCAGCAGTGCCCCGCCAAGGACCCATCCCTCACCTAGGGGCCTTGTCTCCGCAGAATTTCCCCAGCCTCTTCGAGTCATCGCTCACAGCCCCGTTGAACACGCTGACGGAGTCATAGCGGCAGTATGTGTCTGGCTCCACATCGAACTTCCCAAAGGTTAGCAGGATCACCTGGGAGAGGCATTGGCTGCGTAGCAGGACAGGTCAAGGCGGACCGAATAGTGTCCTGCACCTCTCCAGCCCCGGGAGTACTTGGCAGTAGCATAGTCAGTCCCCCTGTTCCCGCTTCAATGTTCTTACACTGCTAGCCTAAGGGTCTCACACACACATACACACACTCACACATACACACACACACACACACATACACCCCTATTCCATACAGGGAGCATCCCTTTGCCCAGGTGGGCAAGGCCAAGTGCATTTTAGCTCACTCCTAATGAACAGAACTCCACCCCATTGAGTTACACACACACACACACACACACACACACACACACACACACACGAGTTCCTCAGGACCCAGTACTTCCCTCCCCTAAGACCAGTAGTTGCACTTCTTTTTTGCTTGCATGTAAGCTGGTCTGGGTCTGGTTTTGCCCTCTACCAGGGCAAGCTCAGGGATCAGGACACAGACGTTGGATACAATGCTGCTGGCTGTCCGCTTTAAGGATGCCGCCTGGGTGCTGGTGGGCAGCCTAGGCGAGAGGTCAGTACCTGGTCTGCGGGTGCAATGATGTGCCAGGAACAGCTGATGCCTGGGGGGTAATCCGACTCAGGCCAGTTGGGCGTGGTCAGGGTTCCCTGCGCCTTCTCCATCCGCCCCCCGCAAAACTGGTGCTCTGAGAAGGGGAGAGAGGGACCGGGTGGGGGGCGGTGGAGACCCTCGGTCAGCTAGAGTAGAAAGCTCTAGACTGGGAGCTTTCAGGCAGCTAGAAGTCTGGATCTCAAGATGAGGGGACAAGAAGGGGAACAGCGGAGCGGGCGGGTCAACAAACAGCTGGGAAGACGGGGCTGGGGCGCCCAACAGAGAGGAAACGATTAAATGGATCCCTTCTGCCCCCTCCCCAACCCGCGGCCACACCACGCCTCTTCCCCTAGGAGATCCCATCTCTCCATCCCGGCCTAGCAGAAGAATCCTCTAAAGCAGGCTAGAGAGCTCTCACGTTGGGAGGGTTCCCTCCCCTCTGATGAGGTCTCTGCCTGAAACATTCCAGAGAGACTTGTGCTGCCGGGAGGGGGTGATGGGACCGCAATCGGGATCCCAGAACTGGGTATAGGGGGCTCCAGATGAGGGAATCCTAGTCCCCCAGCTTCAGGGTGCCCCCCTTACTCCTGTCAGAGGAGCCCGATTGCGGAGGGGGGCGGGCAGTTACTCACCGTCCCAGTAACCCCAGGCCGCCCATTCCACCCGCGGGTCCATGACCCATTTCCGCCTCGCACCTGGGGGAGGCCCTGGAAGAGGGGTAGGTGGGAGCGGGAGGGGGAGAGAAGACCAGGAGGAGGGACTGAAGGGGCGGTTAGTGAGAAGAAAGGGAGTAATGGTGGCCCTAACTCTTGGGAATAATCTGGGGAGGGTCGAGGTTAGGGCAGGGGTGGGGACCTGAACGGGGGTGGGGCCAAGAGAGGGGAAACAGGAGGTAAGGATGCTCACCAGAGCCTGAGGTGGCCCGACCGCTGTACCAGAGCAGGAAGCCTCGTCCCCCAGTGCCCTCATCCGTTGTCATCCTTAAAGTCACCTGATTGCCAGGTGCAACTACAGGTGCAGGCCGGAAGGTGCCACAGAAGCGTCCCAGTCGCTGGCCTGAGGTCCCAGATCCAGCAAAGACCTCCAGAGCATCATAGCGGCAGGAAGGGTGGAGCTCCATATCGAAGACTCGGAAGGACAGGGACACAGTCTGGCCCTCAGGCACCTGACAGAAGGGGAATGGCGGACCGCCCAAAATCAGGTCCCAAACAACCCTAACAGTGGGCATCACCCCTCCCCAGGTACTTCTAGAGTAATAGCGGTAGCAGGAAAGGCCAGTGCAACACAAAGGACCTGGTCTCTACTCCCAGCTTGTGGTCTCTGAAAGGGGAGAACTGGAGCAAGTTAGGAGTAGAGATTCAACATTTGCTACCATTAAAAAACAACAAAACCCAAACCAAACAACTAAAAAAAAACAAAAACAAAAACAAAGGCTTAAGCTAGTTTGGCAGCCCACTTTTGTAATCCCAGGATTTACCGTGCTGAATCAGAGGACTGCCTCAAAATTTAAAGGTCAGCCTACGCTACACAATGAGACCCTGACTCCAAAAACAAAGAATTAAGGTTCAGCACCATGAGTGCATATCCATGATTCCAGCTATTTGGGAAGCAAAGGCAGGGGGATCATAAACACAAGGCCCATAATTTACAAAGACCCTGGCTCAGAAATAAAAGGTGAAGGGGTGTAGGGAGATGGCTCAGTGGGTAAAAGTGCTTGCTCAGGTTCGAATGCCCAGAACCCATATAAAAGGCCACACTAGGGCTCCACACTAGGCCTGGGACCCTAGCCCTGTGGGGGGCAGAGACAGCAGGGCCACTGGGGCTTGCTGACCTTCAGACTAGCTCTAGATTTAGAGACTGTCTCAGGGAAACAAGGCGGAGAGCGGTGGAGCTCTGGAACACCCCACATACCACTCTGACCCCTGTACACATGCATGAGTATGCACACGCATGCACAACACACACACAAAGAGAAAAACAAACAAAAAGCCTAAATGAGGGTTGGAGAGATGGCGCAGAGGTTAAGAGCACTGGCTGCTCTTCCAAAGGTCCTGAGTTCAGTTCCCAGCAAACCACATGGTGGCTCACAACCATCTGTAATGAGATCTGGCACCGTCTCTTGGCAAGTGTATATAATAAAAAAATAACTTTAAAAAATTATGTGATTAAATTAGTGGAACAATTTTGAAAAAAAAAAAAAAACTGAATGAATCAATGGCTGGGATGTACCTTATTGGTAAAGCCCTGACCTAACGTGCAGAAAACCGAGGGTTCCGTTTCCAGTAGTGGGGGAGGACAAAAGGGTGGGAAGGTCAGGATAAGTCAGAGCATGTTACTGTGGAGCCTGACACCCATGTGACCAAAGGGTTTCCCAGACCTGATGCCTGGTGGTGGGGAGGGTACCCTGAGCTGTCAGGGTTGTGCCGGGAGAATGATGAAAGGCAGTGATGGCCGGAGGGACCTTCTCACCGTTATTGTCCAGATGCACTTCTTGTTTGGGGGGTAGAGGTTGGGGAAACCCTCACTTGCCACGTAACCCGACTCTCCCGTCACGTCCCCTCCACACAGGAACACAGGTCTGGAGGACAGAAGAGGCGTCAGTGAGAACCACTAGAGAACAATTCACGAGACTATGAAGCCCCAGGCAATACAGGAGGATGGTGCCGGAGAGGCCCCCATCCTGTGGGACAGGGAATCCTGCCCAAGGACCAGGGGAAGTGGGGCTAGGCAATGGGGCCATCTCTCCAGCCCCTAGAGGCTCCACCCCCACGCCGACAGGAATTCCCGGAATCCTCCTCTGTCCCCCCCCCCCCTCGCTTTCTCAACCCCCTCCTTGCCCTGCCTGGCAGTCAAGGACAGGAGCCGCGCCTAACTACTTCCAGATGTGACAAGCCATGAGGCCATGGGGGGGAGGGGGCCAGAGAGATGAGGGGAGCACCAGTGGACATACAGTTAGGGGCTCCCACCTTCACCCTGCTCCGGTTCCAGCTAAGGACCAGTATCTGACTTTCTGCTTGCTGCCCTTCCCCCAGTCTCATTTCCTGAATGTCAGCTAAAAGAAGTTCAAGGTCTTGGCTTTCTGGGTTCAAACTCCTTGGAGAGGCATGGCTCTGGGTGGAAAGGGAGATTTAGGGCAGGAGGACGGTATTGAAGGACTGGGAACGGCGGCAGTCTGCAGACCAGCATGGCTTTGCAGCAGACAGGGAGACCAGGAGTCTTAGAGGAAGATGAGATGCGAAGGGGTTGCTGGCAGAAGAGCTCCCAAGACCCACAGGCGCAGCCCTCCCAGGAAGTCACCAGCATTCTGCAGCTCCCTCTGGAAGCCATCTGACAGACATGAAACCTACCTGGTGTAGTTGGGGGTCTGACCTCGGGCAAGGGGCAGTACCCAGGCCACAAGGAATGGCCCCAGGAAGGAGGTGAGGGCAGCAGGCAGCATTGTGTAGGGGAAAGTACTGGAAGTAGCAGCTGAGTTCAGCAGCAGCACCAACACCAGCAGCAGCAGCAGCAGCAGCAGCAGCAGCAGCACCAGCAGGATAATCAGTACCAGATGAGGCAGCCCTGGGCGTGTGGGCGTGGGGACTGGCCAACTGGGCGGGCAGCAGGGGAGGCGGGACAGGGAGACAGCTGGGACAGTGGTGAGTCCCTGCAGGGGCCTCTCTAGGTCTTGGACATGTATTGATGGACCAAGGGATGCTGGGAGCAACAAGGGGCAGATAGAACATCATCTCCATCAAATGATGTCATCTGCCACTCCACTCTGTCCTGTGCCTGAGAACCTGGTCTTTCCTGGAGAGTTTCAGGCAGACTGGACTGCTTCACCTGTTGCTTTCTGAGCATCCAGAGAGGATGTCCTTCTTGAGTCTCTTGGCCATTCACCGTCCCACTGGATGGTGGTTGTTATTGCTTAAGACCATCTTGCCATGAAGCCCTGGCTAGCCAGAACTTTCAATCCTCCTGCCTCAACTTCCCAAGTGCTGGGATTACGGGCCTGCACCCTTTAGTTAGGCTCTTCTGCACCTGCTTATGACTTTCCCTTTAACACTTGGTGAATATTACAGGCCAAGGAAGGAAAAGTTCTGACTCCTTATTTTCTCTTCCAACTATTTTAAGGTACTGGAGAAGGGTTATGGGAGGCATGGAGTATCCCTTTCCCTGAGCAAAGAGGGGAAGGAGCAGAAAGTAAGGGAACAGACAGGAAAGACTGGGCTTGGAATGTCGAGGTCCAACCCCAACATAAATTATCTCTCTGGACTGGTGTGGAGGTGTGGGAATAATTGAGACACAGTTCACACAGCAATATCGGAAGGGAGTCTCAGGGTCCATCCAAATCCTGAAGATCACCCACGTTTATTCTCAAAACAGCTTTCATCTCCACAGGTAAACGGAGGGGGAAGTTCACTAGCATTTATTAGCAGGACTGAAGTCATCAGCTTGGATTGACACCTCTTCCCAGCGAGCCCCATAATCACAAAGAAGGGAGCAGAACCACATTAGCTATCCTGACCCAGGAGCCAGCCAGTCTGTACGTGCTATTGTGACCTCAGGTGCGACTGTGGTTTGAGAGCCCGGCTGCCGATACAGTGCAGAAATGTGTGGCCTGTATAACATTGCCCCACCCTGGAAACCAACGGGAAGAGGAGAGAACAGGAGCTGACTTCACGGGACTCGGGGCTAGGGCATGGCCCTTCCGGAAGTAGAGGTGAAGACTGGACTGCTGGGCTAATCCAGGCACCACGACAGCGCACCTGTAACCCTAGCGCTCTGCAGCTGGAGTCAGGGTGAGTAAAGAGGTCAGCCTGGGCCGCACAGTGAGACTCTGTCACACACAAAATGAGCAGACTCCAGTTAAGGTTCCAGACCCAGCGCAGGCTCCACACCGGGGAAGGAAGGTTTGTTGACTGGGTTATCCCATAGGGCAGTGAACTTTCTGGAGTGAGCTGGGGTGCTGACACTTCTCAGTAAACCAACAGGTTGGGCTCCTTCTGTCTTTCCTCCCTCACTGGCCAGGGCCCCCTCCATCCCTTGCCTCCCACAAGGCCCCAGGGTTTCAAAAGAGGCCTTCCTTTAGCCTTTTATTCTATTGTCCATCAAATTTCTTGTCCATGATAGTCAGGTTGGGGGCTCCTCCTGGGCAGCCCCCTAAATATTTAAAAAATATTTCCCTACCCTACCACCCTACGCTACCCTGGCATGTCCAGCACTGCTCTCCACAGCTCGCCCCCCGCCCCACCCCCACCCCAGTGTATACACAATGTTGCTTGCCACTCCGTCTCTCCTCAGCCCCTAGCCCAGTGCCTGATGTCCTTCAGGAATACAGGCTAGGAGGAGGGGGTCAGCTCTCAGGGTTTGAGGTGACTGGGCTACTCCCAGTAGCAGCCCTCTGTAGCATGTCCAGTGCTTCCCAGAAGAAATCTTTCTGAGCGGCCATCAAAGGCATCCAGCCCACAATCTCCTTCATCTTCGCCATTCGGTCCTGCAACGTGAGGCAACTGTGGATCTGGCTGAGGTACTCCTCACAGGCCTGGGCTGTCCCCCGAGGGTCTTGGAAGGCAACGGTCCCCTGGCTAGGTTCAGGGCTTCCCCCTACCCTGCTGGCTGGCAGGTCGCGATAGACTGGGCACTGTTCGATGTCGTGGCTGGACAGTATATAGAGGCACTCTCTGGTGGAGCAGAGGGAGCAGGCACACAAGGGGACCTTAGAGGAGAGAAGGGGTGGGGCTGAGGCAGGCTTAACCCTGCCAGGGCCTTCCTGGAAGCTGGCTAAGCCTGATGCTGTATTGATCCCTCTCAGACAGGCCCTGAACCAGCAAGTGAGCTTGCTATGTTCCAGGACCATGTGAACTTGGGTGAAACCAGCAGAGGCAGCAAAGGAGAGAGCAGGGAGCTCAGGAAAGGGAGATTTCATGATACAGGGGAAATGGAACCAATGGGTCCCTTGAGGGATCCCAGGTGTAAGTTGGGCATGGTGACACAGGAGAGCCAGGAAAGTCTAGAGTTTAAGCCCGGCCTGGGCTTCACATTGAGAATCTCCTTAAAAAAGGAACCCAGTGAGATGGCTTCCCTTGCTGCCAAGCATGGTGACCAACATCGAGGAAGGAGAGACCTGCCTTTCACCCGCTGTCCTCTGCCCTCCACAGGTGCACTGTGGCACAGCCCCTCCCCGACCAATTTTAAAGACTTTTTGAGAGAAGGCAGGTAAGTCCTGGCTACGGTCCTGACGGCCACCTGGCTCTATTGCTCTGCCCTCCCTGTCCATTCGCTCGCCGGACTCTGCTCTGACCTTGATATGCAGCTTGACGAAGGAGGCGCTCCCCTTAGGCCAGCCAGGAAGGCGGCCTCCGGCCCCACAGCCGCACCCCAGCAGCTCCTTGCTGAAATCCGAGGTCTGACTCAGCACCAAGGAATGGTTGAGGCCACACCACAGGGCGATGGGACGGTGTAGATAATGAACCTGAGGACAGACAGACAACATGGCCAGGGGCTTTAAGGTAGGAAGGTTGACTGGAGGCTTGGGGCAGACAGCTGTTTTGGGAGTTGGAAGAAAAGAGGGTCCTGTTCCTGCTCTACAAACTGGCAGCTTTCAGTCCCCCTTCCTGTGCCCACAGAGCCCCCAAAGACTGACTACATGGGTTCTGGTCCTTGGTAAAAACTTCATGTCTTGCTCCTCATGAAATATGCTCTTCCTTAAGGACAAGACCTGATGCCCTCTTCTGGCTTCCCCGGGTACCTGCACACATGTTTGTATGGACACACATGTGCATTCTTGCACGTGCAATACATACACAGTAAAAAAAATCTTTAATTACAAAAAGCCAACAAGTAACACTTAAAAAGTCAGCCAGGCACAAAAAAGCAGGGGGATTAAAGTGAGTTCCAGTTCAATCCAGGCTACATGGTAAGAGTTTATCTCAAAAAACTGTTTTTTGTTTGTTCTGTTTTTATTGCATTTGTTCGTATGTGATGCAGTGTGCACAGCACTCATGTGAAGGTCACCTATCAGTTCTGAGATCCGCATATTCACATATTCTCTCGGTCCATCCTGTGGGTCCCCGGGACTGAACTCAGATCAACTGGCTTGGTAGCAAGTGCTGAGCCATTTCCAGGTCTGTTCATTTTGGGAAGGCTCATGTGGTGGTTTCAATGAGAATGGCCTCCACAGGCTTATAATCTGAAGGCTTGGTCTCCAGGGAGTGGGACTGTTTGAGAAGGATCAAAGGATTAAAAGGGGTGGCCTTGGAGGAAGTGTGTTGTTAAGGGTGGGCTTTGAGGTTTCAAAAGTCCCTGCCAGGCCTATTCTCTCTTCTCTTTCTCTCTTCTCTCTTCTCTCTCCTCTCTCCTCTCTCCTCTCTCCTCTCTCCTCTCTCCTCTCTCTCTCTCTCTCTCTCTCTCTCTCTCTCTCTCTCTCTCT